ACGAATGTTGTTAATATACTCCCATTGACATAAAAGTTTCATTAATTCATTCTGCAGGCAATCAAGTTCACCATATTGTAGAGAATGGAACTAAATGGCTGAAAAGACAGATAAAAGGCATTTTTGATTATTTTAATTTTAAAGTAAAATAGCAAAAAATGTAAATCTCAGGGTTAGAGTTGCCAAAATGCATTAGGCCTTTATGTATACAACATTTCAGCTAAACAGTTCTGGAAAAAAGTCCTTTGACCACTAGTTATCTCAATTCACTGCTAAATCTTCAGTTATAATTTAATCTATGCAGATTTCAATGACTTTGTTTTAGCGATCTAAATTTTTTTAAAAAAAGGAAATAAACTGCATATTCCTTAAATCACCCAGTCAAGGTCAAGTTTATAACTGATATTAAATTGACTTGATTTTCACAGTTGCTTTCAATTAGATCAAAATGGCTCTTTTGGGAATGTACAAAAAACAGAAAGTTATAAAATTCTTTTTAAAGTGGATGAAAAGGTACCCACAACTTCATTAGCTGTATTTTTCCATTACATACTATTTATTAGAATAGTGTGTCAATAGCCTTGATCATACATGATCTAGAAGTCAAACTTATACTGAGAAATTTTTTACTTTGCCATACAATTCCCCCATTAAGATTTCATTTGTCAACTGAGAAAAATGTGAGTGCCTCTATGACATACCATGTAGTTAAACTCTGCATGAAATTTATAGTCTGGCTAATGAAGTCACTACAGAATTATGGAAGCTCTTTGTCACAAACTACTTAAAATATAAGATGAAGTTCAAAGATCTTTACATAGCTTGGAATTACTTATTAGAATGTGCTACTTTTATTCTCAGTATCTCAGACAATCAATTACAACTTATCTAGTAACTGTAGTGAATAGTTAATGCTCATATGCCTTGAGTAAGTGGGTTGTTTTTTTGAGGAAATCAAGGAAAGGAGGCTACATTTTACTTCTGGACGGTTTAGAGCCTGGCTTAGCTGAGAGAACGGAAATATGGAAGAGACTAGAGTGGGGTTCAGAGATGCACTGAAAGAGGAACCTGAAGCCAGAAATGAGGATAGAATTGGAGCCCTGGGGAAGGCGCATAAATCTGGAGAGGCCTGTGGTTGGAGGGGCTCTAGCTGACTTCAGAGGAATGCGGAGATCTAATGAGAACCCCTGCCCACTTAAAGACTGATTCAGAAGTCTGCATGTGGGTGTGGCTGAAAAGAGAAGGCCTTTCATTCTCAGCTACGAAGAAAGTCTCTCTGAACCTTACATTCCTAAAACTATAGTGCATTCAAATTTTACCCAAGCAGTGCTCACCATATCATAGGTACCTATTAAATAAAATTCAAAAACCAGTTGAGCAAAGCTAAGGGAGTTTGGCACAATTCTAGAGATGAGTCTATGCTCACGTGTAGGCCCACACAAGAACAGTTAAACAGTAACTAAGCAAGAATGGGGCAGTCAAAATCAGTAAAACAAGGATCTTCACTGAGACAAATCAGATCTGCACATAGTGACTTGGCATGCTTTTCCTAACCGATTTATGCTGGGAGGTAATTTTTCTTTCAGCCAACACAGGTATTCGTACATATTCCAGTACACTGTACATTCAAAAGAAAACTAAATCTGGCTTAAATCAGTAGTAATACACTAATTACTGAAGAAGTTAGATTCTTTTCTCAAGATACCCAAGAACAATTTCCGAATAAACCAACCACAAAATCTACCACTGCTTTGGTGGTAACTGGCTTTTGAAAATGGCATTTTTACTGGACTGGATGTCACTAAGGACATCCTTCCTCCTTTAAAAACAAATTAGAATGATAGCATATTCCTATTTAATCAGCAAGTTATCATTCAATACCTTCTCTATGAATCATCTAGAGGTAATGGGGAGTATTATCTACATGGGAAGACAAGACAAACATATTAATTTAATACATATTTTCTTAATATATATGCAAACCCTACATGGCTGTCCTCCCATGGGAAGACGCTGTTATTGTCATATACAAACTTTTGAGGTCTAACTCAGCATAGGCTTAGCCCCAAATAGTAAATCCACCTCACTAAGCATTAGCAAACAATGTAGATTTACTGAAACTTCTGTGAGCACACAGGAAACAGGGTTTTAACTGTATACCACATAGAATACAACCTCAAGGAGCTCCTTTTTGAACCTTTTTAAAATTTTCTCCCATAGCTTTTTTTAGGTACCAGTTACTGAGCCTCCATTTCCCATCAGAACCCATTCCCCAAATCTCCATTATTGTCCCAAACAATTCAGCTCTAATCCTAAAGTGGTGTGCACTCCAAGACAAAGCAAAAGCTGGTAAAATTAACCAGGCCAAAGCTAGGTGGAAGTCAGCTAAGCAACTATATCCCAACGTGCCCCTTGGGGTGAGGATGTCATCCCCAACCCACATGGCTTATCTAATTATTCACCTAACAGAAACAAACATTGCTGGCTTAGGGGATGGGGAGAGAAATTCTCTGCTAAGGAAAAAAAAAAAGAATTTTCTCCATGTCTTTGCTTTTACAATATGCAAGTCACCATAGCAAGTGCCGTGGAACATATAAACTTGTATAAGACATAGTATGTGGGAGATTTACTAATGATCCATTTATGATCCTCTCTGTGACAGGAAAGCAGGGAGTTCCTGTATATAGGGAATTTCCTACAGAATGTTGTTGTAAGTTACTCAGCTTTGGGAAGGAATATGGAAAAATCAAGGTAAATATGTTTTGGTTTGGAATGTACTGATTTGACATTAGTGAATCAAATAGATTTTTGTGTTGGTCAATGAGACCTGGCCATAAAAATGTCCCAAATTACTAGTATTTGCATTCCTAGACAATGTTAAGCAGTTGATCCAACCACCTAGGTCCAATAACCAATAGGCTAGGTAGGCAGAGTCTATGTTCTGATGAATAGGAGCAGGAAGGCCTAAAAAAGAAAACTGAAGCAGCTACTTGCCTTGTAATATAAGGAATCATGTTATGGAAGTCTTCCTACTTTGGGTTGAGGGCTTCTAGTCTGTGGCCAATGGGAAACCACTGTTAGTTCATGAAGAGGGAAGTGAAGTGATATAACTGGTTTTTGTGAAGACTACTTTGAAAACTCTCTACAAACTCTCTCTCTAGCTTAGAAGTAGCAAAGAAAGAAGGCAGGGAGGCCAAGTATGAGGGTCTAGATAGGTAGTGTGAGAGAAAGGAATGGATACACAAATGCTGAGAATTGCTTTGAAAACGTTTCCTAAAAATTGCTGACTGATCAGAATTAGAGGAAGAAGTGAAAAAGGGAAGAGTCAAATACAACTCTGATTTGGATCTCACGTTACTGAGGTAACAGTAATGGCATTTATAGAAATGGGGAACTTGAGATGAGAGGCCAATCTGAGGTTGGGATTAGTCAAAATTAGTCAGTCAAGAAATATTTACTACATGTCAATCACTGGGCAAGGTGCCACGGACACAGGAGCAAGCAGAGCTGACATGATCTTTGAACTCACAGAGCTCACAGATGGGGAAAGACCAACATTACATAAATGATTAATATAGTTTATATGTAACATAATAGGGGTAATAAATTCTGTAGAAAGAATAACCTACATTTTGTGTGGTAGTTTCAGATTTAGAAATGTTCAAGCCACTTTTTATTTTTGAATGACTACAGAGAGGAGAAAAAGGAGCAAGCAGCAGTCAGCGCTCAGAAATCAGCCTGTATTCATAGCAGCATTATTCACAATAGCCGAAAAGTGGGAGCAACACAGGTGTCTATCAACTAATGAGTACGTAAATAAAATGTAGAACATCCATACAATGGAATATTATTCAATTATAAAGAGGTATGAGGTTCTTAGTCATGTTATAACATGGATGAACTTTGAAAAATTATGCTAAGTGAAAGAAGTCAGTCACAAAGCATCACAGAGTGCATAATTCCATTTATATGAAATGTCCAGAATAGGCAAATCCATCAAGACGAAAGCCGATTTTTGGTTGCCTAGGGCTGGGGCTTGGGAAGATTGAGGAGTGACAGCCAAAAGATATAGGATTTCTTGTCAGGGTGATGAAAATGTACTAAAATTGATTATGGAGATGGCTGCACAACTCTGAATAGACTCAAAACCATTTAATTTTATACTTCAAATGGATGAATTGTATGGTATATAGATTATATCACAATAGAACTGTTTTTTTAATTACCTTGTATGGTAGAATAAAGAGGTCAGCAATAGGAGAGAAAATGTTTATTAAAAACCCAGGAGTTCATTTTGAGTTCAGTTATATGTAAAGTGGTTAAAAATAGGTACAGTTCAGGAACAGTCATTTTTCTACACTAGCCATGATTTATGATTTTCTACAATTATCTAAATATTGAGGTTTAAATGTCAGATGGGCAAAGACAAGCTCTGACCTAAAACTATATAACAACTTTGGACGCTAGAGAACAGAGCATATCACATTTGGTCATACTTAGGACATTTGCTTAGTCACTGAGTTATCTAACCAAACTTCTTAATTTAGCTAAGCTGTAAATTCAGATTCCCTATAACCATTTTACAACACGGTTTCTGAAAAACAAAAATTTTTAGTCCCAATTGTCGTGCTTCATAACTTTCCTTTAAGTGAAACTGATCTCCTTCTCAAAGGGAAACCAGTTTTGGTTTTTTTTTTCATATTTTTCTTTCTCAAAGAGATATTTAAATTTCTTTTTTCTGCCAGGTCTAAGAGCCTAAGTGGGGATCTGATCTAGTCTGGGTGGTCATGGAATGCTTCCATAAGGAAGTGAAATTTAAATTGTGATCTGTAGGAGTTTGATAGGCAGAGAAAAAAGAAGGAAAAAATGTCCATCAGAGAGAAAAGCATGTGATTGGATCCTGGAACAGAAGAGATCCTGGTACATGTTGAAAGTTGTGGATATATTACAGGTAAGGAACTAACCAAATAGCATTGTCTGGTGGTTGGTTTTAGATACTGGATTAGAGATCAGGATTAAAGAAGAATCTTGAGATGTCATCAAAACAGAAGTAACCACTGAGAAGAAAGAGAGCAGGAAGTAAGAACTGCGACTGGAGAAATGCCCACAACTACAGAGAAAGCTGGGAAGAGGAGCCGCTGTGTGAACAATTGGACAGGTAGGAGGGAAATCAGGGAAGAGCAAAGGTACAGGAATGAAAAAGAGGAGACAGTTTCAAGATGGGCACAGTGATCAGTTGTGTCAGATGCTAGCGATATTATTGAAGGGGAATGAAGATCAGAAAAGGCCTGGAATTTGTCAATATAAGTTCAAGAGACTTTAAATTTTTAAATAATTGTCTAACTCTCCCTCCCCACATTAAGAAATGGGTAGAATCGCTGAGAATCAAAAACCCAACACTACATCTCACTACAGGACCAAGAGGATCAAATCATAATGAACCTGACATGCTTCCCCCTACAAAGTGAGTTTTTGTAGTGATGTGTGTTCTAGCTGATACTAATGCAGGGGAAATAAATAAAAAAGAGAGTGTATCTTTTGCAGACATATCCCCCAAAAGCTCAAAGAGTTATTTTTGGAGGACAAAATTAGGTTTACCTTGAGAATTTTTTTTAGGCTCCAATGAAAACAAAGACTAATTTAGAATCCAGGGGTTGATTTTACCATTTGTTATTTCTTACAATGGGATTTAGCACAGAAAGTCATTTAACGCTGAACAGAAACAGTTGAGTTACTTGTCAATTTTCAATGGCTTTTTTTTCTGTGTTCATTTATTTATCCTTGCATCAACAATTACTTGAGCCTTACCATATGTAAAGTGAAAGGCTTCACTTCCCTTTGGAAACAGACCTCCGTATTGAGTACAGTATTTCCAAAAACACAAAGAGTCTTCTGATTCAGAGGAAGTGACACGATGGTCTATATTTCAACAGTTCTTTTACAGTGAACTAACAAGACTTTGTGGGATGACACCATGAAATTGGGCTTTAAACCCATGTGGGGGCTGAGGAGCAGCAGGATAACCGTGAGGCCCCTTCGGGTGTTGGATTCGTTTCCTGTCACTACAAATTACCACAAACTTCTCGTCATGAAAGGACACAAATTTACTCTCTCACAGTTCTGGAGACTACGAGTCCAAAATCATTTCACTGAGCTAAACTCAGAGTGTGGGCAGGGATGGCTCCTTCTGGAGGCTCTGGGGGAAAATCTACTTCCTTGCCTTTTCCAGCTTCTGGAGGATGCCTGCACGCCTCGGCTCATGACTTCTTCCCCTCGTCACTACAGTCTCTTGCTTTCATTATTACTTCTCCTACTTCCTCCTTTGACCTTCTTGGCTCCCGCATACAAGGACCCTTGTGATTACATTTAGGGCCCATCCAGATCATGCAAGATAATCTCCTCATCTCAAGGTCCTTAACCCAGTCATATTTGTAAGTCTCTTTCACCACACAGTATACACAGGTTCTGAGAATTAGTTGCAGGTGGCTTTGTGGGGCCATTATTCATCCTACCATGGGTGTATTTCCAGTCCCAGATTTCCCTCCTCTGAGAATTACCTCTTCATCCACAACAGGGATGGAGCCCTGCAGCCGTGTACTATACCTCTTGGCCAGAGCTATTTGAACTATGAATGAACACTCTCTCCAGTGGATTTATAATTAGGAGACAGAGGCCAGCAAGACCCTGCTGGAGTTACCCAACTCAGCTACAGAGAGACCCGAAGCCCAGGTGGGATTTTAGCTTTGTCTCAGGGTGACTTTTGAATGCATGTGCTAATTTAACAAGTTGCCTACTATTAAGCTGCAAACAGTGAAAGGATGGAAGCCAATTTAATCTGCATTTCAATCTCAAACCTTATTTATCTTGTTTATAAACTTTAAAGACATTTAGAAAATTTTGCCAACCATTAAAACTTGTCAGTCATTTCTTTCCTTCACTCACAATGTCACAAATGGTTATAAAGAGAACCCAGTGGGGAAATTCAAAGTCAAGATTAATGCCCCACTTATATGTATAAGTAAACTCAGTGGTTCATTTATCAGCTCCCACTAAGTTGCATTAACTGTCTTTCCAGATTATAAATCATTCTTATTAAACCAAAGGCATTTCAGTGGAAAGTTGGGCACTCTAGCCAGGGAGATAACTCACCCTAAATGCTCTTAAGGCAGAGGGGTCTGGATCACCTTCACCCTAAAATCAAAGGTAAGATTCCTTATTATCAGTCATGCATTGTTTCTCCTTCACCAAAAATATTTTATTTCACGCTGATGAAATCACTATAATGAAAATTACCAATTTACTTATTTAAAATTCTTCTTAAATGCATTTCTGTCCCTTACCATACTTAGCTCTCTCTTTTTTTTAAAGGCCAAGAGTTTCTTGGCTCACTGAGGCCCTCGTGATGTGTGGCACAAGACAACAAAAGGTGCTCTGCTTTCTGTAAAGATCTTAACTGCAATGGCTGAGCCCTGGAACCACATTCTAAAGTATCCATTGTTCTTTGTAGGCATTCGCTGTGCCCCATCATGTCAGATAACCACAGCTAACATTCTGTAGGCAAACATGGCCCCATTCATTACATCAAGCAGTGAATAATTCATATAGCAACTTTTACCCTGGGCAAAATACACTGACATCAGGAGCATTAAACTGGAGTCATTCAAGGAACAAAATGGTTATTCATGCTTTCAATGTGAACTATTAAATCTTGCCAGTTAAGTTAAAGAATGAATTAATTCATTGGACATATCACACAAGTCCATAAGAACACAGTTGCACAAGCAAGTTTCTTACTTGGAGTATTCCTACCTGAGAACGGAAATGCCGGTCATTGTGTCAAGCAAGTCTATACTGGTCAGCGGAGGGGAGTGGTGTGGGGGAACCACTGCTTCCTTTGAACTCCCCTTAGAAGAAAATGGTTCCCATTCATCATTTTTGTTTCATCTTGTTCCTACCCTCATCCCCTTACTATTTTGCCACCCACCGTAGCCAAGAGAATGGTTCAAGGGCTGCTGGCTTCTCTCATCAACTAACTTGTGCCTAGTTGGCATTTGTTGGCTATTGCTGACTATGTGTCCACAGTCTACTTTTTAAAAGAAGGATGAGGGGAATTCCCTGGCAGTCCAGTGGTTAGGACTCCTCGCTTCCATTGCAGGGGGCACGGGTTCGATCCCTGGTAGGGGAAGTAAGATCCTGCAAGCTGCACGGCCAAAAAAAATTTTTTAATTAAAAAAATAAAATAAAAGAGGGTTGAGAATGGTGGCTACTCAGGCCTTTTAGAATTAATTTTCCAAAGTCAAAGGCACAGTACATTTGATGATTCCTGAAATGGTGCTCCCCTTTGGCCTCCAGTCTCAGCTCTGGCTCCCGATAAGAATGGTCTCCCACAGACACCTGACTTAGCCAAAATTCCTCAGTCGGCCTCTGAGGAGAGTAAATTTTTCTCCAAGAAAAGGAAGGTTTCCAAACTGCGTGTGCGCACACAGATGGGTTTTCCAACCAACTTCCTCCTAGCAGCTAACCCACCCTTTCTCTCCAGAGACTCTTGGCACCTGCAGTCAAACCCTTTATTGTGAAACTCAGATTATTGTGTTTAAGGTTTCCAATCAGACTGAAGAAATCTGGAAAAAGAGTAAAGAGAGTGGCAACCAAATACACATAAGAAGGAAATAAATCCCAAGAAAACTCCAGGCTGAAGTATCAAAACTGCCATTATTGAGGTGTTCTATAGCATCATGATATTCCTGTTCCTATAACTTCTTCTCCCCAAGTTGCAGGTCTCAGGTGACCAGTAAACCATTGTGAGCTGATATTAGACTTTTAGCATTCATTATAGAGAGGAATTGAGGATATGAAAGATGCAGAGGTGGGGAGAGAGAGGACCAACACTGTATATGTCAGCTCATTGAATCCCACCTCTGAGTCTGCATTATTAACATCTGCATTTTGTAAATCGGGTCCAGAGGGGTTAAAGGACATATTCAGCTAACAAGTAGTTGAACTGCAATTTGATCCCTAGGACTTCAAAGTCTGTGCTCTTTCAGCTGCCCTACAGTGCTGCAAGATTATGATGTAATCTTTCTCTCTAGGGAAAAATAAAATGCTAAGTAAAATATTTAAGTATTCAAAGCATACACCAAACCTGCCTTTCTCAGCATAACTCTCGCTCTTTTCTTGCATAAACCTTCTCTAGCCAATCAGGTCTCTCAGCATGCCTTGAAACTGCTAGATGTAATTCAAAAGAATTTACAATCTAGTTAAGGAAAATGAATAAAGGAATGCATGACTAAAATTTTTTCAGAAAGTGCTGATTTTCACCGTGAACCAAACAGTTTTTTTTATCACTGTAAATGTCAGTCTTTCAGTCTTCTAAGACAGAATCAGCATGGAGTCATTTGTTCTTGGTGTTTTTTTTGTTTTTGTTTTTTTTTAATTGAAGTACAGTTGATTTAGAATATCGTGTTACTTTCAGGTGTACAGCATAGTGATTCAGTCATTTTTTTTTCTGATTATATTCCATTATAGGTTATTATAAGATATCAAATAATTCCCTGTGCTGTACAGTAAATCCTTGGTGCTTATCTATTTTATGTATAGTAGTTTGTATCTGTTTATCCCATACTCCTAATATGTCCCTTTCCCCCTCCCTCTCACCTTTTGTAACCATAAGTTTGTCTGCAAGTCTTTTTCTGTTTTGTATATAGATTCATTTGTATTATTTTTTAGATTCCACATATAAGTGATTTCATATAGTATTTGTCTTTCTCTGTTTGACTTACTTCACTTAGTATAATATTCTCTAGGTCCATCTATGTTGCTGCAAATGGCAGTATTTCATTCTTTTTTATAGCTAAGTAATATTCCTGTGTGTGTGTGTGTGTGTGTGTGTGTGTGTGTGTGACGTCTTCTTAAGCCAATCATCTGTTGATGGGCATTTGGGTTGTTTCCGTGTCTTGGCTCTTGTAAATAGTGCTGCTGTGAACATTGAAGTGCATGTACCTTTTTGAATTAGAGTTTTCTTTTTTTCTGGATATATACCCAGGAGTGGGATTGCAGGATCATATGATAGCTCTATTCTTAGTTTTTTAAGAAACCTCCATACTGTTCTCCATAGTGGCTACACCAATTTAGATTCCCACCAACAGTGTAGGAGGTTCCCTTTTCTCCACACCCTCTCCAGCATTTATTATCTGTAGACTTTTTGATGATGGCCATTCTGACAGTGTGAGACGATCATTGTGGTTTTGATTTACATTTCTCTAATAATCAGCGATGTTGAGCATCTTTTTGTTTGCCTGTTGGCCATCTGTATGTCTTCTTTGGAAAAATGCCCATTAGGTTTTCTGCCCATTTTTTAATTGGGTTGTTTTTTCAATATTAAATTGTACGAGCTGTTTGTATATTTTGGATATTAACCCCTTGTTGGTTCCATCATTTGCAGATATTTTCTCCCATTTCTGTAGGTTGTCATTTCATTTTGTTGATGGTATTCTTTGCTCTGCAAAAGCTTTTAAGTTTGATTAGGTACCATATGTCTATTTTTGTGGGGTTTTTTGTTTGTTGTTGTTTTTTTTTTTGCCTTGCAAAGTTTATTTCTTCACACTTTTCAGTTTCCACTCTTCTCTCTGGCTCTTCCACCCTTTATCTAGTTCTGGAACAAGAGAAAAGGGGAAATAAGACAATCCATTTATTTCATTTTAGGTGGATAAATGATTTCAATGTAAACTTAACCTTGCCCACTATAATAAGGTAGCAGAGTCCAGGGACAAAAGAATAGGTATAAAGACATTGGGAGAATTGACAAAATTTGATTATTGGCTCTGAAGTAGATAATTGTATTTATCAATGTTAAATACCTGATTTTGATAACTGTATTGTACATATATAAACGAATGTAACCTGGAGTATTTAAGGGTAAAAGGGCATGATGTCTCCAACTTACTCTCAAATGGTTCAGAAAGAAGAATATGAGAGAAAGAGTGAGAGAGAAAGAACAATAAAGCAAATGGGGGAAAATGGATGAATCTGGGGAAAGATTATATGGAAATTCCTTGTGTACCATTTTTACAACTTTTCTGTAGGTTTCAAGGAACCTCAAAGTAAAAAGTTAGAAATAAAAATGTTCATGGAGTTAGTTTCAGTATCTCTTGGGGAAAAAAACAGCTAATCATTACGGCAAGAAACAACTTTAGAGATCTCCCAGGCAAACCCTTCAATTCAAAGATGGGGAAATTGAGGCCGAGAGGTACAGGGTAACTACCTGTATGAGCAGCTATAAGAGGCAGGGCACACAGGCATGCAGCACCAAGCCCACAGTCTCCTACTTGAATCCTTCAACCAGGCTATCCCTTTTCTCTCATAGTTTTTCTTGACTACTTATATCCCATCTTACTACCTTCTCTGCCTCTCTCAACTTCCCTCAAATCATTTTTATACATCTCCAAAAGTGTATTCCATGCAGAGCACAATAATTCTGCAGGATTTTAATAGACATTATATAAAGAAGTCTACACGTAAATAATAGCTTTAAGAAATATGGGGTCAAACAAGGTAAAAGAGACTTCCCAAGGCCTTTACAACACTAATGTGCACATAGTGGGATAACAGTGGATATAATATGCAGCATTTTTCAAACATATTTGGACAGGGAAGACTTTTGTTTTGCAGAGTCTTTGGGGCTACCCATTCCAATACATTTTTGGAAGAGCTTATATAGAGCAGCAAATGCATCATGACTAAATGCTAAATGACAGATGCAAAGTGTCATCTCTCCCATTCAACATGATGAAATGCCTATGTTTCTGGGACTGTTGGGACTTACTCTGTGGTGTTGCTAAAGGAGGAATGGAATGTAGGGCTAAGTCCTAACTTTGGTTTGAATTTACAACCTACAATTTTGGGCAAATCAGCAAATCCCTTTGAGCCTGTTTTTTCATCTGTGAAAGAGAGGTAATATGTATATTGCAGAGTGCTTTGTATGGGTTAGTGGAAACTCTCTACGAAAGTTCTTTATACTCTACAGGCCACTGCTTAAATATATAAGGTGGCATATGACTATAGCACTAAAGGTGAGGGTGCTCTTGAAAAGAACAAATAAAATTCTGCCACAGACTGTGGAAGAGCATAGGGAGGTGGTTTGCATAGATGGTGATTCTGGCAGAAGAAGCGGTTTGGAGAGAACTGTGTATGCAATTCCA